TCATTATGCTGACAGGTCATGGACTTTACTGAGCAATAGTGGAGTACCTTAAATGTTGTATCTACACTGGCATTCAGACAAGCATATTTGATACTATATTCAAGACGACTATAAACCAGGTCCTTCAAATTTGCATCTACAAAAGCAAAGTAATAGAAGTACAAAGATAGATGAGAAAAAAACCTGAAAGAAATCATCACAAAAGAAGCTGAAATATCTGTTTGAACAGTTCTGTAGAAAAAGAATTATTGACTTAAAGTTCAAAGTGACAAGTTGACACCAGTCAGAAGACCTATTAAGGCAAAATAAAGAGTTCTAAAGGCAAAAGAACAAGCAGATCACTGTCTGAGGTGATAAATTAATTTACAAAGCAACCCTCAAAAAAGAGAAATATCTGAGATGTGCTTTGTGTCGGAAGCCAAACATCAACCATGTCAGGTGTGCCCGGGGCAACTTGAAAGACATGCAAAAACAAGCCAGGAGAAATAATTCCACTGTCAAACAATACTAGGTGGCTACAGAAAGGAACTTGATTATCAATATACGAAACAAACTAACGGTAAAGAAACAAGAAGGGTGCAAATGTACCTGTATTCCTACAGCAATATTTGATGACAAATTCTGAACTACGAAAGAACAGCATCAATTTATAGTCATTTGCAAAGATGTCTCTATATCACAGTAAAAACCTGCTGATTCACAATGAGCGCATGGGGTTTTTTTCCCCCACAAACAAATTTATATAAGCTTACTATCTCAACTTGTTAAATCTATTTTTTACTAACTGAGCATCATCCTATCAGCTTCTATTCTGAGGCACTCAATAACAAATGACACAACGTATCAGAGAAAAGACACACACACAGGAATTGGCTTTCAGAAACATTTTGTCACAGAAACCAATTTTTGTTTACTGTGAAATATCTCTCAATGCATTCTGCATGTCACATTTAAATATACTTTTTTTTCTAAAAAGTCCTTTGACTCAATATATGTTCTAACAAAATGTCTTGTTATGCACAAGTTGCATCAATTTAACTAGACTTTAAATTGTAATAAATCCTGATTTTAATCATATAATACAGGCTAAGTTTGCACATATACCTAATTCATTCAAAATAAACTAAAACAATTGCAGTTAGAACAAAGTGTACATCCATGCAAATTTTTACTGATATAACTAAGTTTCTAATTGCATTGCAATTTGTAATGGTTTATTTTTTTTTTTTTTAATAGTACATAGATTCAGTTCCTTATAAATATTTGTTCCCCAAATTCAATCCCTTTTGAAAAATTCCGGGGGGGGGGGGGAAAGTCTTACACTGGTATTTCACAATGCACTTGTGAAACAGCATGATCAAACCAAATCCCAGAACATCTTCACAATTGTTGCTCAACTACAAAACCAAACCAAAACAACAAAAAAAAACCCCAAAAAAAAAAAAAAAAAAATCAAAGAACAGAAGAGCTAGCAAGACACCACAATCTACTTCCTGTCCCTGTCTATTAGTTACTGTCACAGACATACTGCATTTTTCACCTCAGCAAACTGTATGCCTCTTATTCCAGCCCTTGAAAGTCAACCTGACTAATTGTGCTAGGGTGGGGGAGGAAGATTCTTGAGAAAAAAGATTCACGTGAATCATCTGCAGATAAACCTGTATTTTTTCCCCAAATTTAATGCAAAAGATGGCTTTGTCTTTTAATATTTAAGTGCAGAACTCTTAACCTAGAGCAGCTAAATCAGGCCATTCAAAAAAAAGTCAACTTCTTCATTAATCTGTGGATAGACTAACAGCCAGCTTTTTCTTCCGTGAAGAACTGCCAGCTCCTCAGAAACGATTACCTATGATGCTGTGTCCAAGCAGTGGCAACTACATGGAAATACCATTTCTGCTGCATATAATTCAATATCCCGCGCAGAAAACAAGTTAAGAAGCACTCAAATAAAAATAGCTTAGATGTGTGTCAGCCCACCACTCAGTGTCAAGCACTTCAATATCAAACACCATCTCTGAAGGAAAACCTTTTGCAATTCACCATTATTTATAGGTAATAGCCCAGAAAGTTGGAAGAAGTAACACCAGCCACTTTAAGAAGCATGTGTTACCAGAGACATAAGGAAAGCTCACATAGCACACAACACAGCTGATCATGACGGAGCCCTTCAAGGGGCAACAGGCTGAAGACAGAACTTCCAAAGAGTTCCTAGGCTTCTTCATTACTCTCTCCAAGTGATGGTATCAAGAAAGTCTGTAACAGAAATCTTAAAAAAGGATGCGGAATGTACTCGGACCACTTCTGAGTCTCTAGTACCACAGAAAAAGAGGCTTGGAATAGTTTTGTGTGTAAACTGGACCTGGAGTTGGCAGCAAATTTATTTTCCATCCTCCCCCACTTATCACATCTATTATGTGCACTCTTCAGAGTCCCATGACTTCCTCTTCCGGACTCACCAGGTACATAGAGAAGCAAGGAACTCCGGCACATGTGTAAAATAACAGAAGAACTAACTTATCTAACTTATAGTTATCTAACTAACTATTAGTTTTGCAAGATCTCAAAGGACAAGTGAGCAGTATCCATCCAGTATTATACTATAGTACACAAAAGGACTTGTACGCGATAAGCAATTAAACTACCGGGAAGCCTAATAAAAACCACAATCAAACAGTGTAGGGACTGACTGATGGACACTGGAAAATGAAACAGCACGAGAGAAGAAAAAATTCAAGAAGCCTGCACCACTGCATAACTTGTAATGTACGTGCTACATCAAAAATTGAACAATATACGTTAGACAAAAATGGGAATACTTTCAAGGAAGCAGCCAGGTCTAGGAAGTGCCATAACATCGCCATTATTTTGTCCTTAGATGAATCTGAAAGATATATCTAGATGCAAATTTTAACCACTCTTCATAACGCAGATATTCAGTCTAGGCACCACAGCTCATCAGTTAGTTACATCATGCAAAATGTAACAACTACCTTCACAAGTTTAGTCCAGAACAAGTATTTTTCCTCCATTCCAAACAAATGGACAGTCCAGTGCAAAGCATAAGACAGAAACATAAAGGAGGAGTTGACTTTAGTGAGGAAACCTATGACCTTCTATAACAAATATTAATTCTCCACATAACTACCAATGCATTGTGCTTCTAATACTCACTTAAAAGCCTAGTTGCTGTGGGTGTCATATTAGGTATGATCTTGCAGAACATGCTGAGTCATATCACGTTGCTTGGTCACATCTTTAGCTTACTGAACCCATAAATGAAAATTATGATATTCTGAACTAGCAGCTTATATGGCCATAGAAACTTCTCATCACCTTATCGCCATCCCATATGACTCACAAAGAGAAATGACTATGACTGGAAGCAAAAAGTAGAAGTGAAGCATCAGAAAGCCAAACAGACTTCACCAGCTGTTTAATTCACTGGATTCCTCTTTTTCACAGAAGTTTACAAATAATTGAACCCAAGAACATCTTAGAGCTCCCGTCCTGCGAAAGCAACTGCTGAAGAGCAGAGGGGTTTTTAGGATTGGGATGCAGCTGTGCAAAAGAACCAAGCTTCATTATTAGAGCCTGCCTTTAGTGCTACTAGCTGGAAGAACTTTTGAAAATATCACCTACACAACCTTTGAGATACAAAGCTGAAGTCTTCAGGTACTATCAACATGGTTTTTAAGTGTTTGCAAAGTTTATTGGAATTACAAAATAGAACTAAGCAAATTGTAATCTGTCTTACAACTGACTGGCTGGAAGTACGGTTTCTAAATATAAACTATCCTACAAGGAGCACTGTCTTCTTTCCAAGGGGTCACGATATCCCAGCATTAAATAAATGAGCTTATTTCTGGGGTATCCATCAATCCAGCATGAAGTAGGAAGTTTCTAGTTAAAACAATTCCCAACCCTTCAGAAAGTGTGCCTGGAGAAGTCATGCAGTTTATAGTAGTCAGGGTTGCATCTTCTACTGGCAAAAGTGATTACAATTGAACTTTCTAATAGAGAACAGCCTGTCACACCTTTGTACAGAAGTGACTGGCATCTTATGGGAGACAGTACCAGCCTGAAGTAATCTGCTGACAAGATCTACTTACTACCTTACTCATATAAAAATTTTCATAATAAATCAAACCAAAGGTTATTTCACCAAAATAACATTTGGAATGCAACTTTTTTCTTCCTTTCATGCAATTACATGTCTCATAATTTAATCTTGATCTAAAATATTAAACAACTACTATTTGAGTTAGAACTTGGACACTGTGGTCAGACTGAAAGAGAGTGTATGCGTATATATGCATATACACATACACACACGCATATATATATATATATATATATTCAAAGGATATTAAAGCCATAAACCCCAAGAAGCTATTTTTCCATTTAGGTCATAGTCCCTACTTCTGTTAGTGATCTTAAGTCAGATTTAACAGACAAATATACACAATATCTAACCTAGCAATTTACAGCTGTAAACAAGCAATCCATGCAGCCATGAAAATGTGGAACTAGAACATAACTTTAAATACAAATATGTATTTTATACCTGTAACAGAATTTTCATTTGAAGCAAACTTTTTTAAACATTGGCTCTCCAGTGAGAAAACTTTAAAAAAAATTAACGAACAAGACAACTTTATTAGTACATGTGACACTACCTTCAGGAAAACCTTAATCTTTTGCAAAAAAATCAAGTTTGAGCTGTCAAACTATCATCATTGAAAGGATTTGGATATTGAATTTTATCTTACTTGCTAGTGTACCTCAGAGTCCATTTTTAAGGATAAACTGATAAGGTCTTAAAGATGGAGATTTAAAATGAAATGTTAACTGGCTCCTAATGATAGCAATGTGAATGTAATATTTTAATGAGCTCACTAAATATACAAAAATGTATTTGTTAAACTCTCAGTGCAATGAAAGCAAATTTTCTTTTTCTCTATAGAAAAAAGAGCTCTTTATATAGAGACTTCATGCCTTACCTCTAGGTCACAGCTGTATTCCGTGCCATCCAGAAGCATCACTTTACACTGCACAGTTTTAATTTTCTTGGGAGACTTCTGAGGAATGCTTTCTGTTTTAATTTCAGCTGTCTGCACTTCTTTCGTCTCCCTTTTTTCTTTTTCTGCTTGTTTTTCTTCCTTTTCCTTTGCAACTTTCTCTACTTCTCTTTCTTTACCATCTTCTTTGGCAGGCTATATAAAATACAGTTAAACAATGATTGAAACTCAGGAAGGTGAATATTTTTCAACTTGTTCATTTATTTTATAAGCTACTAATAAATGAAACATTGAGCTTTCATTAAAGTTATGCACATACTGGAAGCACAATAACCAGTGTAAGCATTCAGGTCTTCCTTTGGGGACCAGATATTCTTGCTCTCAAACCACAGAAGGTACCTTTTTTTTTTTCCTTTCCTTGAAATGAGATAATTCTTTTAGTGTTTTATTGGAACTTTTTTTTTTTTTCCTAACAGAAACTAATTTAAAAAGAAGCTCCAGGAATTATACAAAACTAAAAAACAGTGTTTATGAAAGTCAAGTTATACTGAATCACGGAGAGGTTGAGGTTGGAAGGGACCTCTTGAGATCATCTCATCCAATGCCTCTAGGGCCATCTAGAGCAGTTTTCTCAGGACCATATCCAGTTGGGTTTTGTGTATCTTCACAGATGGAGATTCCACAACTTCCCTGGGCAACCTGTTCCAGT